GGCGCGGGCGGGGGGGGGGGCACATTGTGCGGGGCCTCAGGAGAGGCCCTGCCGTATGCCACCCTTCGCCTGCCATATGGCCGAGGGGACCCCTCAAAAGGCCAGCCATGTGCGCGCCTGCTCTCATACAGCAGACTCAAGTGCGTGGCAACGCCTACAGCGGCGAACCGGCGCGTGCTCGGCGGCCCACCCACCGCGCAGAGTGCTGAGTGCGACGAGGGCATGCCGCCAGAGTCCACAATCGCCCGCACGTCCCACACGCCCTTTTTCAACCGCTTTGTGAAGATCTGGAGGCGCGAACGGGACATATTTAAGAAATCAGTGACAGGAGCGCTCAGGTCTCGCAGCGAAGGAGTGAGCGTTGAGCAGAAATGCGCGAGGCAGGCCGCACATGCGATTGGGTCTCATGCCTTGCGCCCTGCGGCCGCATCCTCGCACATGCCGCAGGCCTTGTGCCCGCACCTTCAGCGTCTGCGCAGTGAACCAGGCCCAAAAGCCGGCAAGGAACACCCTGTTGGTGAATATGTCGTTGACGCCGCCGCCCGGCAGCACCGGCAGCGCCAACACCGCCATCAGCTGCAGCTGCTGCGCGCCGCCGAATGTGGCGCTGTCCCTGTGCATAGCGGTTGCAGGGGTGCGTTTGAAGGATGCTGTGTACAAGCCAATGCAAATCAAATGGCAGTGATATCCGCATCCGATGCATATGTTTAAGTCGGCACACGCGCGCCCGCGCCCGGTGGCCTCATGCGCTGCGGCCGACGCACCCAAACAAGAGCTGCTGCAGCCGCTGCTGGCGCGTCCATTGTACAATCCGATGTCTCCAGGTGCGCATTTGCACGAGCAGAGCCGCTGCCCCGAGCTGATGCGGGAATGGGGGCACCCGCATTGCCGAGTGAGAGGTGCTGGTCTCCGCACTCCCATTGCTGCTGCATTGGGTAGCACGAAATGCGTGCTTATTTGTAGGAACGCTACACGGCAGCTCCCGGCGGGGGCCTAGCCCCCGCACTGCTGACATAGATCTGAGCCCGAGCATGCCTGTTGCGCACTGCACGGTCGCGACTCGCTTTGAAGTATGACCGTCTAGTTCTCTGTTAACCCAGGTCTGCCGGCACAGGTGCGCTCCCACTCCAGGAAAGAAGCGGCATCTTCGTGAAACGCATGGGGATACAACGGCACGGCAAGTAGACCACTGCGTACAGTATCCTAAGACCTTGTACACTCCTGAGTAAAAGCAGTCAGGCAGGGTGCACACGCTGCGTGGCGGCCGATTGCGCAAAGTCCCGCTTCGGCGTTGTCCAAGGTTGGCGCTGTCATATTGGTCCAAGTGACCAGATTGGCTCTGTCACGTCAGCCCAAGTGACTTATGATGATTGCGTAGTTTGCGAGGGTATCATGCCTTGTCGTGGAAGGCCCGCCGCAGTCCGTGGGGCCAAAGCTGGAATAGATTTGGTGAGACTACCGCACGATACAGTGTGTGTGCAGTGGAGTGGTGGCAAATCCCACATGTCATGATCTTACGTGATGTGGTCCTAGAACACGACTTTTTAGTGAAGTTGTTCCACCTGCAGATCAACCCAGTTTGGCTGCACACTGCGCACAACATACGTTGATCCTCGTCTACGTGCATGCTGTACTCAAAACCCGCTGACACCGCTGCACACACAGAGTCAACCTGGCATCCAAAAGTTGGCAGCAAGGCTCATCAGAAGTTGTTCACCGGAAAGCTGTGGCGTTATGAAACCTTTCAGGTGGCGTGCGTGGCAGCTGACATGTGATTTGCAGATGAAATCAACAGCACTTACACCGCCCGTTGACGCCTGATGAGCACACAGTACATTGCAAGTCATGAGCAGTGGCAGGCTCCAACAAGCACAAAGGGTTCATTGGAGGGCACAATTTACGAGTAAGCATATTTTGCACTTACACTGCTGTATTATCAATGGCCAAGCTGAGTTGTGCTTGTACAAATGACTGGGACGGAGAACAATGCTGTATACAGAAGTTGCAGAAATGCCATACAGTGCAATCGTCAGCTTGGGGGCACGCTGCTTGGACATCACGGGCCAAATCAAGAGTGGCTTGAAGCAGACAAGTTGGGCCACCCATCAGCGCGTGGACTTGACCGCCGCCGGGGCGTCTGTTACCGCAGTCATCCGCTTGATGATGTTCTTGCACTCTGACCACGGCACGTATCCTGGGGGCAGGAGGTGCGTCGGTCAGGACACAGCGACGTAGGCGACGCAATGTTGGATTGTGATCAGCTGGACAATCTGCTTGATCAATATGGCCACGCACCAGGCTTGCTTGACTGTGCTGTCTGCCGGGCGTGTGGGTGGCGTCCGACACCTAGGTGCCTGGCAGCAGCAACTCACCCAGCCACAAGCAGACTTATGGCACACGTGTCTGAGACGTCTAATATCCTCCTGGCAACCATCCGACCTCACCCTTACTCATGAAGTTCCAGTAGGCCCAGGGCAGCACGTCCTTCTTTACAAACCACATCAAGGGCTCCTCCTGCAGAGGGTGAGGGGAGTGAAGCAGGGCGGCAACATGTTGCACACAATGTTTGATTCGTATGTCAGCGCCCTCACTTGCATACCGTTGCAGCCCGCCCAAACATCCTGTTGACAACGGCTTGGCTGCGGGCAGTAGATGTTGCAGCCCCCTCTTCGCGACTGCCACGGTCGCGGCAACGATGCAAACAGTGCAGCACACAGCCGTATCTGGAGCACTGGCCGGGCTCCCTCCCAACCGTCTGGTCCCCCTCACACACCGCTTGCCCCCCCTCAAAAACCTCCTCAACCCCCTATTTGACTACCCTGAGAACCTAATCCGCTCCGATTTGCTGAGGTCAACCTTGCCTGCGCCCTGGGACGCCTTTCACACAGGACAAACATGACAGCAGCCTCAGCCGCGCACCTTCTGCTGGTCCACGATGCCCAGGGGGGTGAAGGTCTCCATGATCTTCCCATCGTAGCCAAACTCCATCATCATGCAAGCACCCTTCTTGGTAACCAGCGGACACGAGCTGTAGCCGTCGTAGCGGGCATCGTCCGAGGCGCGCCCGGCCATGAGCGCGTCGAGGTTGTCGCGCAGTACGAGGAACTGGGCACCGGCGGCGGCGGCGGTCTTGCTGGTGGGCACGGCGGCGCAGTCACCGATGCCGAATACGTTGGCGTAGCGCGTGTGCTGCAGTGTCTGCGGTATTTGGTGGGCCGTGGGTGAAAATGGCCGACGTTGCATGACACATTGTAGACGGATGTGCGCTTGACGGCTGATGGGACTGAGCAGTAAGAGCTTAGGATTGCATGCATGGCCTCTGAAATAGTCTCCTGCCCAGGCGGGGTCCCAAGCCTGCCTCCAACAAATTGGTTCAGCACCACTTTTCGCACCTCAGGGTCTGTTTCTACCCACCCCTCCTTGTTAGCAATAGGGCTGTGGGCCACCACGTCCAGGGGGCCCTGAGGCGGTGTCACATGCAGAAAGTCGTACTGCATTGCCTGATGGCCCACCACCTGGCCAGACCTGCACATCGGCATGTTGAGAGGTGAGAAGGTGGGATGAGAGCACAGAATGCTGCCGAGCAGCCAGGGGCGGGGGTGATGAGGATGGGCCAGGGCTGGAGAGCCAGCACGGGAGGCACAAGCTGCAAGGGAGCTGGTGGGACGCGGCTGGAGGTGATGGCTTTCCCCAGCTTGGATAGCCATCAGGTTGTTGACTCAACCCCCGTCACTTATAGCTGCTACTCACTGGTCCAGCTGCTCAAAAACGGCCTCCTGCTTGTCGCCACGGATCTCCACCTGGAGAAGGGCAACAACAGCACAGTTATTTATTGGGGCTATACATGGTTGCAAGGGTGTATGTGTGGGGGAAGTGCTGGGGACAGGGAGGCGGGCATCGGGCGTATCAACTACTGGGCCTGAACCCTCATGGTCTGTCCGTGGAAGCAACACTTGCATTGTTCTCACGGGCGGCGGCTCCGATGCCCGGCAGCCGCAGCTTGCCAAATGCGCAACTTTATGCAGGCGCAGAGCTGTCATGTCACTCGTGGGCGTGCACGCGCAGCTTCCTACCAATAAATCACCAGCTTCCCGCCTGCGACACCTACCTGATTGGCCACTGCCATCCATCAACCCTGTCAACCCACCCAGCCCCACCTACAAGGTTGGTGGTAAGCTTCACGTTGATGTCGCGCTCCTTGACCAGCCCCTCGATTGTCTGCGAGTACCGCGGGATGCCAAACATGCGGTCGGCCGCCATGGCCAACGTCACGCTGACATGACCACGCCGCCCCTCGCGCCGAAGGTAGTCCTCTGCTATGTAGCAGACCTTGTGGCCGGCGCCAGGGCACTTGACGACGCCCTTTGGGGCCAGTCAGCATACAAAGAAAGGGGGTGGGGGGCAGTGAAAAGTTCAGGATCAGCCACACTCCAATACTTACAGATAAATGGAGTTGAGGGACGTCCAGCCCCGCAGATTTCCAAGCAAGGCAGGCTACACAGTCCGAAGGTTGCAAGTACACACAACGCAGGAGCCTGACCAATGCTGACCTTGGGCATGGTGAAGAGGGCGTGTCCGCTCCTGAGCTCCTGCAGTGCCTGGAAAGTCAGCGGGGCCGTGGCGTAGCTCATGTTTGACACCACGCGGCCATCGCCCAGCGCGGCGCTCAGCCCCTTGACGTTGTCCCACTTGATTTGCAAGCCAGTCGCCACCACAAGGTATTCATACTCCAGCTTGCGGCTGTCTGTCAGTGTGACGCTGTTGTCGTGGGGGTCGAACTCAGCGACGTGGCCCTGGATCCAGTCCGCGCCTCTGGGCATGACGTCGGCCGTAGGGCGGCGGGACTCCTTGATGTCCTTAAAGCCGCCCCCAACCAGCGTCCTAGGCAAGCGTGCGTATATATATATATAAGGGATGTGGAGCAATCACGGAGATCAGAATTTGGGAGCGGGGGTGGGGAGAGCGGCGGGAGGGGCTTGTGGGCGAGACACGTGGCGTGGGGCCGCTCTTGTAGCCCCGCCCTGCCCGCTGCCCTGCAGCCTGTACAGCCTGTACAGGCCAGCGCCCTGCTGTGCAATGGCAAAACCATGAGCTCACCAGAGGGGCTGGTAGAAATGGTACTGGGAGGGCTGCAGAGGTGGTCGGGTGGAGGGGCGGCGTTGATGTGGCCCCATGGGGCGGGTTGATGAGGGGTGAAGATTGCTCAGGGCGTAATTTGACACAGGGGTGGGTGGTGCATGGGTGCCGTGCTGGCAGAGCGGGCGCTTACTTGCCCGGTCAATGCAGAGATGTTTGCGCGACCGCACCATGCCGTGTGTACACCAGCAACACATGATCATTGTTGCTCGGCGCTGCGGAAGCTGCCATTGCCGGGCCGCAAGAAAGCATGGCACTTGTAACAACTCGCTGGACGTACATACACCAAGGCATTCTCCATTTGGAAAGGTGTGCTGCACACACGAGGCAGACATTGCACACAGCCCAGCGCCACTACGGTACCAATCAGGATGGCGCCACCTACCTCGATGACCGCCACCTGGCCGGGCAGCTTGCGAGCGTAGTGAGCCGCTGTGGTGATGCCTGCCGAGCCACCACCTACTATCAGAACCTTGTAGGCGTCTTTTGCTGCTCTGACCTGCACCACTTGCCCGCGGGGCAAACGCCTCATCACTGGGAACCTCGCGGTCTGCTGCATCTTGAACTGGGCACAATGCATGAGATCTGAGAGAGTTTTTCGAGCCTAAGAATGATGTCGATGGCTTATTACTGTATTAGCCGCGACTTTGATGTTCGATACGGTCGCAGTCGGTCTGTACGTTGCAGGGGCTTGCGGGCTGTGACTGCCTTACTAGAACTTGCATATGAAGATATCACGATTTCGAAGATGATCGTAACAAATCATGCCCAGTAACCTCTGCTGGTGCGCTGGATTAGAAATGTCAGATTGACAAGTTACTCAATCAATTTCTGTTTCAAATGCGGCCGGAGCACGGAAGCCATGGCACTGCAATCTCCACTTGCGCAGATTGACTGTAGGAAGAAAGGCCGCGGCGCAGTGGCAGTTATTGACAATAGACTAGACAATACCGTAGGGGGGGGGCTGAAACCATGCACACCCCGCTGCCTGTCCCGCACTCCCCTGGCACATACTCCCGCTGCAAGTCCGCCGTCATGGGCGCATCCTCACCCTTCTGAGCGCACGAGACCTCCGCCTCGGTGTTCAGCATTCACGATGCTGGCCAAAAGTGCTGCCGAACTCTCGGTTACAAACAGTTGCAGCGCAAGGTTGCATGCATGCAAGCCGTCATTCAGCAATCAGCAACGCCCATCGCCTCAATCAAGCAGCAAGTGCCAGGCAATGTGCGGCACATGGCAAGCTTCGCTGCTGAATGGCAGCCCGAGTCACCTGGTGATGGTCGCACCAGCAGCCACCAATCCCAAAACTCGCATGGGCGTGAAACCCCAATCCAAACAATACATTCATCCAGTCAGGTCAAAATTGGTTGTGGCGGGCCAGCCCGCAGGCAGGCGGCCAGAGAGCCATCTACGCGCCCGCTTTGCTAGCAGTCCCAAGTCATCTGGTGCACGCACAAGGTTGTGAAAGTCACAAGAAAGCGAGCCGCTTGCAAAGCCTGCGCGCCCAAGAGCCTAGTTGGCGTGCATGGCTGAGACTGTCGCTGCGTCGGGCCGTTTAAGGGAAAGGCAGCGGATCCCCAGGAAATTGCAGATCTGGTCAATCACGCTCAACACGTAATGCAGGTACCCAAACAGCGCCACAATCGCCAGCCCCAGCGTGACCTGCATGGGATCCGCCCACTTGAGGCGGCTGTTGGCAACCGCGAGCGCCATGCCAAAGATCGCCAACAGGGGCGGCTGGAAAGGCTCCTTGCACATGTGGGCCATGATCAGGCGGCTGGCTGTGAGCGCGTAAATGATGCCGACATTGACGTTCTGAGCGCGGCAGAGGTACGGCGTTGTGGTCTCGCCGTAGAGCCAGATCGCGCTGATCGCCAGCTGGGCTGTGAGGGTGACGAAATGCAACCACGCAGCGGTGGGGCCCAGTTGCTTGTGGCCAGCCTCCTGCACGGCAGAGAGAGAAACAAAGAAGAAGATGGGGACAGAGAAAGACAGAAAGTGTGTATGTGCGCGCGTACCAAGTGTATGTGCCTGAGTGGAGAGCACCTAACTTCAAGGAGTGGTGCACAGCACATGCCATGGTGACCGCATGTTGCCAACATCCTGTTGTGCCTCACACCCTGCTTGCAACCGCCTGGCCCCCACCTTTGGAGGCAATGTGCGGTAGTCAAAGCTGAAGAAGACGCGGTACATGTTGCACAGCGCCTGGTAGAACCCCACAGTCACCATCGCAATGATCAGTAACGAATTGAGCTCTGAGAAGGATGGGGTGGTGGTGAAAGTGCACGATGAATTCGTTGGAATAGGCAGACTGCGGGGTGACACAGAAATCGTATAGCTGGTGTGAAAAATGAACATGCGGGTGCCGCCCTGCTGAATATGGGGTGGCGCTATCAGCTGCGTTGTGGGCAGTTGGTACCAACCGCTGGCCGGCTGATACATCATTGTGACACGGGGATGCGACGCTCCCTGAGCTGCCTGCCTCGCGCCCCAAGGGACTCACGCACTCCCTCCAGAATCTTGAGGGGCACCACGTCGGTCGCAGGGAGCCGCCAGAGCCAGGGCCCGACAGCGAATGTCACAAAGTGCAGCAAAGCTATGCAGTAGTTTGCCTCCAGCACGCCGTAGAAGCTGTTGCCGTACAGCATGATGCTGGTGTGGTACTCCTCCCACTGCGCCAGGATCCACGTGAACATCACCTGTGTTTGTGTGTGTGTGTGTGTGTGTGTGTGTGTGTGTGTGTGTGTGTGTGTGTGTGTGTGTGCGCGCGCGCAAACACTGGAGATTTCAAAGCAGTCAACATGCCAGATGTTGCGCGACGCCAATGCACATGGTCGGCGGCCTGACGGCCTGCAGCACAACGGCGCCTCACCCCAAAGTTGCCGATGCCGTGCGCCCAGGAGCATGACATGCCGAGGCTGACACCGATGTTGGCCAGCAGCAGGTTGACGCTCAGCGCGTCGCAGCCGTGGTCGAAGAGCTGCCCCAGCGGCGAGCTGCTTTTGGTGCGGCGCGCCTGCTTGCCGTCCAGGCAGTCCAGGTGGACATACAGCACCACCGACAGGCCGTTGACAAGGTACACCCACCGCGGTGGGTCTGGGACCGCTGCGAAGTGGTGGATAGAGGGCATGCCCCGACGCAGGGCGGGGAAAGGGTGTCAGCATTCAGCTGCGCGCCTGGCGCGTGCGCGCCAGAGCGGATGGCAACCCGGCTGGCGCTGGCGCCATGGCACAGCCCGCGCTGCTGCGCTATGATTATTGTCTGAAGGCGTCTTAAATTGTGAACGTTTGCAAAGCATGGCCCCATTACCAAACAGTCCCATGGCCAAGACAGCCGCCGAAACATCCAGCGGCGTGCGGAGATATAATCACCACGCACAATCAAAGTCGGGCGAATACCAGGCACTGATCAGGTAAGCCACTATGAGGCACATGGTGCCCGTCAGCGTGATGAGGTTGGGCGCCAGCCACATAGGCATCTTCTCGACGCACCCTGCGGCGAGCGTGCAAGAAGGAAGGTGCGCGCGCGATTGTGTACGTCAAGCTGGCAGCACAGGCGCACAACAACGCTTGGGCCTGGTCAGGGCTCGCGACCATAATCGTCTGCATCTTTCATGCCCCATAGCAGATCAAGTTGCGCAAGCCAGTGCTGGCTGCACCTGCCCAGCTGCCTAGCTGCTGACCGGCCTGCACGCACAGCAGCAGGTCGGCGGCCGAGGTGGCAGCTGGAGGCGCGCAGCGCAGACCACTGTTGGGCCCTGCTCACAGTTGTAAAATGGTGCATGGATCTTGTCCAGGTAGGTGTAACCTGCTGGCTTATATTCGTAGGCTTTCAGGCCATCCAGGGCCCTCCGCGATAAGTAGGGCATCTCGCCCTGGGATCACGCCTGAGCAGCCCAGGACCTATGTGACGCGATGATCACTGACGATCCACGCCTTTTTAACGGCGTCACGATGCCTTCAAACGACCCTCCTCAATGTGTGTAGATGCTTGCGCCTATGCTGACACTGGTGTTTAGAACGGAACACAGCGATTGAGTGCGTGATACCGATGTCTGGAATTGATCGTGGCATGAGTCAACGAGCGTCCCTGAGGAACCCTGGTGATCTGCTGATCACTCTGCCGCCGGCGCCAGCTCGAGCTCAGCTGCCTGGTCGCTGATGCCCTACGCCGCCGTTCCGCGTTTGTACCCTGCACCCATTTAGGTGGCTTTGTATAGTCTCGATGTGACGCAATTACTGTGCACCATACGAGGCGGTATGCCGTCCGTCGATGAGTCCAGCCAGCCAGCAGACCGCCGCTGTCGACGTGCTCCTCCCCCAGCACCCAGCTCAGCACGCCGTGACCGTCTGGCAGAAGAATGTGGGCAGTGCCAGCCCCAGCATGATCTCCATGTGCTTTTACACGAACAGTTTGAATATCTCCAGGTCCCGCCCGCTCAGCTCCCTGAACTGGAACTCGTCGTTCAGCGCCGCCACCGCCTCCTGCAACGCGCCCATCTCGCCCTGCGGTACGCGCAGGCCCAGCAGCGCGGTGGCGGAGCGCTGCCCTGTCTTGCGGAAGTGCAGGAGCGTGATGTCCCAGCGCGGGCTGATGGGTGTCAGCAGCTTGTGGAGCATGCCGCACAGCTCGGGGTAGTCCACCTGTTTTGAGTCATGTAGGATGGAAGATTTTATGTGTGGGTGGGCGCGGTCCGCGAGCATGTGTGCGCACTCGCATGGGTCTCTGAAAAGCTCGGGAACATGCTTAGGGGATGCGTGCATGCTGGCATGCAAGGTGGACTGGCCCAGCTTGGGGCAGTCCGCAGAGCGGACTGGCCAGTCAATAACAGCCAACAGGCCTTGAGCCAAGGGAGGGGAAGATGACGCTTACCTGGAAGATGACCTCATCCTGCACCTCACCCCCACCGTCCAGCACTGCAGGACCGCCGATCATGTGGCGCAGGTGCACCTGTGGGTGGGTCAGTTCCGAAGGGTGTGACACGTGAGCCCATCGGAGGGCCCGGGGCGGCGGACAACGCAGCAAAGGGGTGTGGGAGCGTGAGGGGGAGCTGCTCACGGAAGGTGCGCGGAGCAGCGCCCTGCGGTACTGCTGTGTTGACGGCATGCCCTGCAGCCAGGGGCAGCGCTGATGGCAGTCCCAGCGCGGCACGGCTACATGCGGAGGTCCCTGATCGTCGTATCCCAGCAGATACAGCCATACTAGCAAGGGGCACCCCCACCTGCGCCAGGTCCATCCCTGAGATGTCTGTTGCGTAGAATCCCTCGCGGCGGTTGATCTGAGCGAGCAGGTCTGCGCACTGCCTGCCGCCCGGCACCAAGCCCAGGCCTAGCAGCAGCCGCGCGGTGCCGCGCCGGCCCTCGTTTCCCGAAAACCTGACACCAGGATGCAAGGCCGGGGTGGGGCCTGCTGGGCGCGCAGCTGCTTCCCAGCACCTTGAAACTGACACCGCGCCTTTCACGTGCGAAACGCCTTGAACCTATGCATTACGCCTTGCCCTCCTGGCGGTCTCGGCCGAGGACACCCACACACTCGTGACCCTGCACACATCCTGGCAACGCCAAATTCATCTCCTTTCCCACTACCGTAGCCCCCTCGTTCCGCTCCTTGTCTGCCCCTATGCAAACACACCCTGCCGACCCCCTCCCCCGTCCCCTACCTGTACTTGAGCTCTGTGACGTCCAGTGGGTCCCCCTCGGGGCCCGTGCACATGGCCAGCAGCTCGACAATGGCGCCGTGGCGGTCAGGAATGCGCGCTGCCAGCATGGCCTCTAGGGAGCCCACGTCAACCAGCTCTGGGGGAGGGGAAAGGGACGGAGTTGGGGGCAGGGGAGGAACAAGTTGGGGTGCGGCTGCACACTGAAAGCGCTCTGGAGGGGATGGCAGCCGCGGAGGGCAGGCAGGGTTTGACCGCGGCCTGCGCTTGGAGCAACGAGCCTAATTGCAATGTGATATTTGTCTCTCCAATCGCGTTCGCCCCAGAACCCGTTCCGAGCTCTTGAGCCTGTTTGTCAACAAGGCTGTGCAGCAGGCTCAACGCCACGTCCAAACAGACCCACCTGACACCAGGCGCAAGCGGTCAAAGTTCATGTTTGCGCCGCTGGTGACGGCCACGATGCGCTTCCCCTGGAGCCCGTAATGCTGCAGGAACGCCTTGACACCCGCCACCGCCACCGCACCAGCCGGCTCCAAGATGGATCGCGTCT